TCTCTCTCTCTCTCTCTCTCTCTCTCTCTGGTTTTTAAGGCTTGTTATTGAAAGGAAAATGTGATCCTCTCTCTCTCATTAATAAGGTTTGTTAATGAAAGAAATCATGATCCTCTCTCTCTCTCTCTGGTTTTTTATATGCATGTAGCTCTCTCTCTCTCTCTAATAGGGTTTGCAAATGAAAGCAAACCATTCAAACAAAATTAAATGAAAATGGCATCTTCTCTCTCTTTCTTCTCTCTTCTCTCTTCTCTCTCCTATATATGGAAACCCCTTTCTCGTCATCTCCCTCGCATTATAATCTTTCTTACGACCTTTATGCCCAAAAAAGAAAAGTAAAACAGAACAAAAAAAAAGAAAAAAGAATGCAGTTGCTAGTCCTCAAGAAAAATAAAAGTAAAGCCTTGCTTTAATTTTTTTTTTTTTTTTTTTCACAACTGTAATGTATTGACCGAGTTTTGAGTTGCTTGATTTTGAAGGTTTTTGGATGTCCATTGTGAGATGGCGAGTTCTGAGATGAGTATTTACTTTTTTTTTTTTTTTTCTTAAAGGGCCTAAGAGCGTTACAAAGTTCCAAAATTTTTTTCATAAAGTTTTATTTTAGTCAATGAAATAATTGCTACTACTCAATGTCACATTCAACGGTCAAGATTAACGTGACCGTCTTATATTAAAGGTAAATGATTTCAATCTATACTTTTTCATATAATAATAGTAATTAGCTTATCTACCATAAAAATTATAATAACTTAAAAATGTTGAATAAAATAAAAAATGTAATTTTTCAATTGAACATTTAAAACTTTATTTTTGATCTAGTTGTCTTAAAAACACAAAAAATATACTACATTGTACTGGAACACTTTAAAGCAGTTGATACGGGAAGAAACCAACAAATCTATGCCAAAAGGAGGCCCAAGTACACATATTCCATTACTTAAACCTGCATACAAATACAACATTATAATCAGTGTTTTAAAAGCCCGACAGGATGTATCATTCACCCACATATTAGATAGGACATTTTGGATTGGATTGAGATGGGTCTGATCCAAAAAGTATTTAAAAATAAATAAAATAAAATAAACGTTACAATAGAGATTTATCAGGTAGGTATTTAAGAGGATCTAAAAAAAGCATCAGAGACGCTTTAAGAAAGAAAAAGCAAAAATGAAAGGGGAGTTTTAAGCAGGAACCAGGCCAAGACTCATTCCATTATTGAACCAGTTCAGTCCTAACCGATTCCATTGAAATCAGCGAGGCAGATATAAAGAGCATTTTCTCATTTCAAAGAGAGAGAGAGAGAGAGAGCAGTTTCTCCCATTTTAGAAAGGTAGAGAGATCATATCCTACCAAAAATAAAGAATGGTCAACATTTGGGGGGGAGCGAAGTATCGTAGTTATGCTTTTGCAGCATACAATAATTCATTGAAATTTGAATTTCTTTTGAGGAATTCATACAAAATAACTATTAATATTCCTGTTACTTAAGGCATAACACTCCTTCCACTGACCTTCTCCAAAATTTAAAAAAAATACAACTTCAAGGATAAATAGTATCCTTTCAAATACCATTTATTATCCACAATACCCTACAATAACCCATACTCATACAATGATCCATCCCCCACCCAATATTGAATGTTTTCAATGATCCTCTCTCACTATCTTTCCTCTCTCTCTCTCTCTCTA